TGATCATTGTTGTTGTCAGTGTTGACACTTTTCCTCCTCATGGCTCATTTCCATGGCTGTGTCTATAGGCTGCTCAGCTGACTCCTGATTGGTCGGGAGAGTCGTCCCTGCACAGTGGAGCTTTGTTCTCATTGGCTCTCTGGTGCCAACCTGCTGTGGAGCCTCTTGTTCTTCTTCTTCTTCTCTGCTCTCACTCGTTATAATCTCTATTTTCTCAGAAGCGGATCAGCTCGAGTGTTTGTCGATAAGAAGCTGAAGGGTCTGTGTTTTTTTTTTCCTCTGAGGGGAAAGTGAGGAGCGTTTGTTTTCTCACCGATGACTCTGGTCTGAGTTGAACATGCAAACCTCCAAAGGGTTCCGGGTGGATGATTTCATCGCAGGATGGATCGGAGGTGAGTGACATGTTTTATTCTAACACAAATTCCCGGAGGTCCGAGGATAGACTGGGGTGGTGGTGGTGGTGGTGGGGGGGTATCGATGCATCCAGCTCCCTCCTCGTGTTTCTCTATGAGATAAAAACCAGTGAACACGCGCGCGCACACGCACTGAATCTGCAGCTCAGTTCAGGTGGTTTTGCAGAAAAACTCTTGCAGCCCCTCGTGCATGCAGCTCCAATGTAAACAATGGAGGGTCTGCAGAGAACCCCCCCCCCCCACCGCACCCCTGCTCTGATAAATAAACCTCCTGTGTTTCCACCTTGCGTGTTTCTTCTCCCATGCACGTGCACACACACAGTCAGTCGCTGCAGGTTTGGTGATGACGTGACAAATTCAATTCCAGTGAGAAAAACGATTTAAAAAAAAAAGAAAAGTGATATACAACGCAGTATGTGATCTGGCCACTAGGGGCGCTGTCAGTGCATCTAGTTTTGTTGCATAAACTAAGTGGGACTCAAACATGTGGTTTTATTCAGTTAATGAAGAAAATCAAGAAGAAAATCAAGAAGAAGCGTAAAGTTAAAATTTAGACTTTAAAAAGTTTAAGTTCGTCGAAACAGAAGAAATTATTTTTTATGATAAAGTCAATCAAGCGAAGAGCAGATGGTTTGTGATGATCTGGAAATTTGAATGACTCAGAGTGTTGTTAACGTTCGTTTAGTTTGTATGTATTTCTATCGACTTGAACAATGAGAGACAATATAAATATATATATATATATATAATAATACTTTCCAATAATGTTCATGTACATGCACAAAATAATGATTGTGTTGTGTTTATCCTGTTTTCTAAATGACGACCAGTAAAACACAGTCGCTCTCTGTTATCTGGACTGTCGCCTTGTTTTCATGTGTGTTGACATGTGTTGTGTGTGTTGGAGTGAGGAAAACACACAATGCACAGAGAGCAGCGGGAACAGCTCATTCATGGTTGCCCCAGTTTAACCCGTCTCTTCCCCCAGTTCTCTCTCAGCTGGGACACGATGAGCGTCTAATGCTTCTGAATGTAAAGTTAATGAAAAGCTAAAATATTAAAACTCTAAATAGATTGAATCAGTAGAAGATATAGATGAAGAGGAAAGAGAGTGACTCTGAGTGAGTTTGACTTTTTCCATCTTTCTCTTCCACGTCGACGTTGCAGCTTTTCATATTTTACATCTGATTCTTTTCTGTCTGTGTCTGTTTGTTCTTTGCTCTTGGCTGCAGGAGCTTCCAGTGTGGTTGTCGGTCATCCGCTGGACACAGTCAAGGTATTTTCGATTCAGGATTTTAATTCCACCACATCTTGTTCTTGTTGTGACATAAACGAACAAAAACCTGGATGTAATCAAGACTCATTGTCTTGTGAAACAGACTGTGTTTGATTTGTCGTTACACAACAGCAATTAAGACTCGTTGTCCACGTTCAAAACACATTTGTTTGTTGTTCGTCATGGGAAAAAGTGTTTTTTTCATTTGTTCAGACAATCTTGTAACCACAGTGATGTGCAGCTTCAGGTGTGGAAATGAAAAGTATTTTCCTGATAAAGAGTAAAACACACATTAGAAATACCTGCAGTTAGTCCAAGAGCAGTTTTGGTGCATTGTTTGATTTCTGTATTTAAAGCCTTGGTCTAGAAAGAGTTGAAACTCCACGTCGGCACTTGTTCTTCTAAGATCTTTTTCATTTGCTGCCGATGTCCACAAATCAATTCCGTTTTGTATGAGGGAACAAGAAAACGTTTGATTCCCCTGAGCTCTATCTTCAGTCCCTCTCTGGGCCAGAGTCTCTGTTTTCTATATGGACTTTAATCGTTGCTGTGTTTTGGTCGTTCTCGCTCTTCCAGACGCGGCTGCAGGCGGGGCGGGGCTACAGGAACATGCTGCACTGCATCCTCACCATCTACAGGAAGGAAACGGTAACGCATCGCCAACTGTTGATCTGTATCCGCTGTGAATAAAGATGTGCCTCGCTCGCCCCCTGGTGGCTGGCTGCAGAATAGGTCACAAACCCTGCCTCCTCCATGTTAACAGATGGGATGGTATGGACCACAATCACTACTGCACAGACTCTTTAAAATTTCTTTCACTTTGTTTGACATTGAAAGACGGAGCATCGGCCTTGCCAGAGGTTTGTGCTCTTCGAGTTTCCTTGAAGTAAACGGCCTAAACATATATTTACATAGTTTTTTTACAATTTTCCTAAGGTAGTTAAGAATAGGGAAATATTTAGGGCAGTGATATTAATAAAGGTTGATTAAATCAGCAGAGGAACGAGCTCCACTGAGACATTCTGCTTTACACTTTACTGCAAAATAACTTTAGGCCCAAACATATTATGATCGGTTTCCTGTGAACGAGACACGATAAAGAAGAATTACATGTAATTAGAAGTCTGTTGTTGTTGGTCACACACTGACTTGATTTAGTTGCTTGTTTTGTTGCCTCGGTTTCTCGGCAGGAATCTGATGTGAACGGTTTCAGCTGCTTTGAAAAGATTTTCCAGCAGCAGCAGATCTGAGCACTGACGAGTTCTGCAACAGAATTCTGCAAATAAAACACAGAGACTTGTGCAACAGGCTGAAAACAGAGCGCGTCACATTGTTGGAAACTGAAGTAAATATCAATGATTCATGATTTACAGTGTGGGATGCATCCTGGGTATTTCTGTATCTGCTGACGGACAAACATGTAGTTTTGTCTCAGTGGTCAAATGACTCGTTCATGCAGTGGACAGCTTTGTTGAACATGTGTCTCCCACAATCCAGACCCCCCACTCCCCCGTTTGGACGGAAACTTTTCCACATGGTCTAAATATTTGGCAGCAGCCCCCCCACACATTTGTCTTCCTTAGTGTTGTTGGCGCAGGATGAAAAACCACAAGTGCAGGCCAGAAATGTAAAACTGTTGCTTTTCTTGTTGCTTTTCTTTCTTTCACCACTCGGGAAATGTTTGTGTTTTATTTTCTGACTGACACGTCTTTTCTCTGTGCTCCTCAGGTCATGGGGTTTTTTAAGGGCATGTCGTTCCCGCTGGCCAGCATCACCGTCTACAACTCGGCCGTGTTTGGCTTCTTCAGTAACACGCAGAGACTCATAAGCCAGTATCGCTACGGCGACGGGCGGCATCCGTGCGGAATGCTGGATTTGACCGTGGCCAGCATGTTGACCGGCCTGATGTCGGTGGGCATCGGAGCGCCGGTGGATCTGGTGAAGATTCGACTGCAAATGCAGACGCAGACGGTTCTCGCAGGTGAATCAGGGCTCGTTGTTTTGTTGTGTGTTTTTGCCCTCGAAGCAGCAGGAAGACGGAGAATACGTCCTCAAGCTGAAAAGTTATTTTCTGCTTCTCTGGGAAACTGCTTCAGATAAGCATGGCGACGCCCACACACGCCCAGTCTGTCAAGCCAGAAAATGAGTTTTCATTTTTCTTAGAAAGCTCAAGAGAGATCATAGTTGTTTCTCTAGACTTAAAAAAAATTGGAACGAATGTTCACTTGGACTCAGTCCAAAGTCAAAGGTCACGTCAAACCTCATTAATCTGGAAAAAAATGTATGTCGAGTTCTAGTTTTCCTATTTTTTACATTTGACTTTTAATGGATAATTGGAGAAAATGATGTGCAGAGTAATAGATGATGGAAGCTGTGGTTAGTTCTCAGTTTCTGATTGAAGTTTTGTTTCTGGTTGAGATGTTTCATCTCTCAGTTAAACAATAAACCAATAAAACTGAGGTCAGAAGTTTAATGACACATGAAACATTTATGACTTACATTTGTTTATGATGTCGCTCAAGCTCACCTCCCTGATGTGAGGACGTGGATTTGGTTCAAATGTGCCATAAAACGTAGATCGATCAATCAAATGTTGGATTGTTTCATTTTAGTGAGTGACGCATCGAAGCTTTATGATTTGATGAATCTGTGAGTCACAGAGGGAACAGACCAGAAACCCACTGAATATAAACATGAGGTGAAAACACCTCCTCATCGTGTTTATTTGATTTTCTTCAGAGAACCTGCAGCTCGCTGGAAACGCGTCAAACGGCACCAACATCCGTCTGCGCTCGGTCGACGTCCCGAGCCCGAGTCTGTACCGAGGGCCCATCCACTGTGTGAGCAGCATCCTGCAGACTGAGGGCCTGCAGGGCCTGTACCGGGGGGCCGGGGCCATGATCCTGAGGGACGTCCCAGGATACACGCTCTACTTCATTCCATACACAATCTTCTGCAACTTGTTGAAGCCGGATGCTACGTCAAGTCCTCATCCTTGTTCCATCTGGCTCGCTGGAGGACTGGCAGGTAAACACAATCATAGCAGATTCTGTTCTGACTGTGGGTTAGTTTGCCTGAAGACACTGATGTTGGATTTAAGTTTCATTTAGATCAATTATTACAGACTAGTACAGATAAAAAAAACTATTTCGCAGGATGAATTAATTCGTTAATATTTATTTTATTCTGATTATAAATCATCCAAATCTGAATAACCTTGTTTTGTTGTGCAGGACTTCACAGGATACATAAATATATAGATATATACACAGATTATATAAACGGTTATTACTACTTTTATAATCTTTGTATACATCAACACCTGTGTATTTCTGTGCTAATAAAACTGGATAATTAAATTCTTGTTGCATCTTCAAATGAATAAACCAGTAGTTTCACGATGATACTCCTGAAACGAAATAAAACATTGGAACCAAAACTTGTTGAAATAAAAAGCAAGCAGTATATTAGCTTGATATTTATACACTTATTTCTTTTTCTTTAAATACAACTGCGTGTTTAATCATCTTCCTCATGTGCAGCTGCTTCCTGTGCAGCAACAAACCTCTTTGCTTTCCATGATCTTGTGTATGGTTCGTTTTCTGGGCATCTGTTTTCAGTGACCTTTGAAAAACTTGGCTCAGTAAAGTTGTGATATAAATACACGTGATCTCATTTAACGCTTGAGAGGAGTGTACAGTGTGTGTGTGTGTGTGTGTGTGTGTACACACTTACAGCCGACCATGTTGGAGAGGATCTCTATCAGATTGGGGGTCCCTCAAGGTTCTGTCCTCGGTCCCCTCCTTTCTTTCCCTTTACACCAACTCTCTCGTCTGTTATTCACTCACTTGGCGTTTCCTACCACAGCCACGCAGATGACACCTGAGTAATTCTCTCTTGTCCCCAGTCTGAAACACAGGTCGCAGCACGGACAACATCTCCGCACACCACCTGAAAATCAACGTTGACAAGACCGAGCTACTTTTCTTTCCAGGGAGATGCTCCGTCGACCACGACCTGACTATTACCACTGACAGCCCCGTGGTAGCCCCTTGCTTGTTTTGTGTCCTTTTCCTTCTGTCGTATCAATAATCATGAAACCGTGATATTTCCTCTGACGATAATCGTGGCGTCTCTAATTAATGTTATTTAAATTGATTTAATGTTGTGCTTATTTCACATTGTTTTCCTCTTTACGTATATACAGACAATCAAACCAGTCTGATCAGCCAGGGAAGGATGTTTTCAGACAGATTTTACAGCACCTGAATGCACCATTAGAGTGTGTGAGTGACGTCTCTTGGGTTAACCTTTGACCTCTCTGTGCTCCATCTGCTGAATGTGTGAACACGGATTTTCCAGCTAAACCTGCTGCAGGGAATTGAACCCGTAACCCTGGAAATGTCTGTGCCTTGCCTCACCCGACAGAGACTAAGGTTTGCCCTCCTCTTCCTCAGGCTCCATCTCCTGGGTCACGGCCACGCCGGCGGACGTGGTGAAGAGCCGCATGCAGGCCGACGCCCAGCTGCAGAGGAAATACAGGGGAATCTTACACTGCATCATCCACAGCTACAAGACGGAGGGAATACGGGTCAGCAAACTGTTTATATATATCATAAAGTTATAAGTAAAGGAGTCGTAAACAGAGTGCAATTCATTTTTCTAATGTTTTATCATTTTATATATAATTATAAACCCTGCAGTAAAGTACTTTTGTCTTTATATCACTAAATTATAGTTTTACAGACTTTTCACTGCGTTTGAAAACTTGTGTTTTGAGACTTTAAATAGAAATGAATCTGAGCAGCAGAGTAACTGTATCAGCTGCTGTAACAGATGTTTGGTCATTCAGGAGTGAGACCCGAGGAAAAACAACTGCGGAGCCCACGCGAGTCAGTTCTCAGAAATCAAACTTCCTCGGAAGTGTCTCGAACGTGATTCTGTCTGTAAATCAAAACTCGGAAGAGCAGGAGTCGAATTCCAACATGGAAACTCCGGATGGCAGCCGAGCAGAGAGCTGATAAATAATCAGAGGAACTTAACGTGGAACAGTTTCTTTTATAGAAAAATGCGAACGGAGAGAAAATACTTCTCATCTGAAGTTATGAAAGTGTTTGATGTGAATCCGCGGCTCCAAACTTGGCCTGAAACAAACGGAGCTGCTGCCAAACAAGTGTCACGAGTTCTGTTTGGAATCAACATTTAATAAAAGTGTGTTTCTGCGCAGGTTTTCTTCTGTGGAGCGTCGGTGAACGCCATCCGAGGCTTCCCGATGAGCGCCACCATGTTCCTGACCTACGAACTGTCCCTGCAATTCTTCAGGAGCCTCTAGGACGAAGGACTCGGCGGTAAAGGACGCGCACGTTGTTCTGGACGGGAACACAAACCCCTGCTCAGATTCGGCTGCTTCGTGGCCCGACGTTAACTTTGAGCACCGTTAAAGACTTTGAGCTCTTCAGGGCGAAGTCATGAAATGATAAAGATTCAGTCACTGCTGCTGTTCTGGTCACACGATGACTGGTTCATTGATGAAGCTTAATTTTGAGTCCGCTGGAGAAAGTGAAAGAAAATATGATATGAGTTCTAATATTAGTTACTGGAAGCAGGACAGTGTGAGTGTGGGATTTAGTTTCACAGAGTCAGACGCTAATTAAAGACGTTTTAATCTGTTGAGGTAAGAAAATGAGTCAGGATGAAGAAGAGCTTTTAAACTCTTGATAATCATAATTAATATTTAGCAGCAAATATAAAACTTTTCATGTTCTGTCTTGAGTAGAAGCCAGTGTCTCTGGGTGGTTTCGTTATTATCGCATCTCAGTTAGAATTTGAAACATCCACTACCAGTCATGTGATCGTCTCTTCTTACACGTCGGCTCGTGGACGGCTCCCAGGTTCAGGTTCAGGCTGCGGGGCGAGGATGTGGCCACCAGGGGGCCTACACCCTGTTCATCCAAACACAGAAGCAGCAGTTGCTAATAAATCTATATGATTACATGGTAAATAATTCTATTAATGAAGCGATATTCAGGTTATTTCAGGGATGAGTTGAGGATTTCTTAGATTTTTATCAATTTTTACCAAAGAAGAAGTTTTTCTGTCTGAAGTTTGAGTCTGTTGCAGAACTCTGAAGCTTCTTTTTAACCGGAAAACACCAGAAACACAATAATCCAGAGTTATTGCAAAGTTCTACACTGATTTATGGGTGAAGAGAATCTTTGAGATTAAAAAGTTGGTTACTAAAAACAAGCTTTAGATAAAGTTTAAATAGTTTGAACGTTATATCATTGACCATATTTAAGAACGTCATGTAAGTGATTATGAAATCAGTGTTTTAGTCTGAATGTGGAGTCGACGTCAGTGAACAAAGGCTCCGTGCACTTTGACCTCAGCAAGAGGGAGAAATATGACGTCATGCTAAAATAGAGTTTAATCATATTTTCACCCCAAAACCGTAAAATCTAAATTTAATATATTTTCCGTGTTGTTTGTTTTCATCCCCTTTAGTTTCGATGTTACATGAATGTGAGTCAAATATCTGACTTTGATATAAAAAGGTAATTTTATTTTGATTTCAGTTTTAGAATATTTTTAAAAAGCTAGAATCAAATTCACATTGAACATGAAAATAACACGTGTGTGTGTGTGTGTGTGTGTGTGTTACCGTCCACTGCATAATATTATATTTGTGTGTTTCTTATATTAAGAAAAGTGAGTTTACAAGTTGATGCCACATTAACAGGAGTTTTTTTCACAATATTATTTAAATGCATGATTCACACATTAACCATTAATCTTTACATTATTTACATATTTAAATATACAATCACTAACATGTTAACAGGGTTGTGGCTTCTATATGAAATATCACTTTCACGATTTCAAACCTTAACATTTGAATCAGGGGTTACAGCGTGTTTCGATTTACTGCACCAGAAAGTGTGATTTTATATTTTAACACGTATTAATCTGGAATTTAAAGCGACTGATCCTCTGCACACAAGAGATTTCTCATTGCGAAGAGAATATCTTGAGATATATTCGAGGGAATGTAGCCGCCTGCCTTATTAGTGATACTTTGAGTTGTTTCCTTGTCATGTACATATTTGTAAATATGCGAACTTTCATTCCAGCTGTCGTGGAACCAGAAGTGTCTTATTGTACATAAATAAAGCTTTTAAACTCAAGGGTGGTGTCGCTCCCTCAGAGTGAGGTGTGTGTGTGTGTGTGTTGTGATACTGAGATGTTATCAGAAGAACACTGTGTGTCGGCACACGATGTTACAGCAGGAGGAGGATTCTCAGCCTGATGGGAAGAGTCCGGCTTCAGTGGAAACACAGGCTGACGTTGGCCGTGTGCCTGCAGGCCGCTGATAAGAGTCCGACCCCGAGGTCACAACTGTTCCCTCTGTTGTTTGGTTTCACCTGAGCCTGTGATGCTGCACAATGTCCAGGAGATGGCAGCGTCTCAACAAGAAAGTCAAGCAGCAGCTGCAAAATACTAATATACTGTGTGTATATATACATCATATATCATATATACGTTTTATTGTACTTTCTAAATTACAACCTCATGATACTAAACTTCTTCTTGCCCGAGTGTCACATGAACATCTAAATAAGGTCACAAGTATTAAGGATCATTTTATTTGTTCTTTTTTGAAGCATTTCTTCAACACGAGTGACAAATATATAAAAAAATTACAAAGAAAAATGAAGCGAATCAAAGAGAAGATTCTGGATCATGACCTGAAGGATGAGGATCTAAAGTTGGATCAACAAATACAAAAACACACAACTCTGTTTTACATTCAAACAAACACACAGCAGAGTTTAACACTATCAACGGCTTTATTCTCTACCTGTAATAATAATAATAATAATAATCACTGACTCGTTAACTTTTGAAGGTTTTTATATTTTAAGAAAGAAACTAAATCAGGATTGTTTTGATTATTCAATTTGAAATTCTTTCACCTTCAGGTTCCTGTGAGTCAGCGTCGATGGATTGACTGTGGAGTTTGTGGAGTTTGTTGTTTCATTCATCTGTGGTTGTTGTTGTTGTTTTATGGTTCATGTGAGTTTGTCAGTTCATTAGTTTATTAACAGTTGTTAAAATTAAACAACAGAGGAGAGAGAGAGAGAGACAGAGAGACAGAGAGACTGAGCACGTTAAATGTAAATCCTGTTCTCTGATGTGAAGGCAGTGAACTCAGAACGAGTCCGGCACAAATCTTTGGCCTCTTGTGCCTAAAACATCTAATTGTGTTGTTCAAGTTGGACCCATTGTGTCGCAATCTTTACAAGAGACATCAGATTTCTTCAGTGTCCACTCGGAGCCGTCACCTCGCTTCCTCTCTTCGTCTCCTCTGTCCTCCCTCTTGTCTCCCTCTCTGGACCCCCTCCATCCAACCCTCTTGTTTCCTCCTTCCTGTCTTTATTCACACTTCAAATGTCAGTGATTTTCCTTCCTGGACTTGACCCAGTGCAGCTGAGCTCTATTTTCTGTCTATTTTTAACACCAGAGCTGCAACTCCTGTTTATTCCCACTGTCAATTAATGTTCAGACGGTTTCTCTTTGTTAAATCCATCAATAATCTGGTTTTGTGTTTGGTAAAAACACTAAATGTTGGTTTTGTATGAGACAGAAATATAAACTGAGACTTTTACCACTGATATATTTCTTTAACTTATAGATTTGTGTTTCAGACTCGTCTTGTTCCTGACGGACTCGTCCTCTTGCAGCTTCTCTGTCGCTGAAGTCTGTTCATCACAGAACTTTGTCACCAGCTTCTCACATTTTCTCATCGAGATGAACAGACGCACATTAACGTCACACTTCGCTCTCTTTTGGGTGATGAAGGATTCAAATGAACAACGAGTTCTCACAACGACCGTGTCGTCACTTTCACCCTCGTGCTGCACAGAAAACTGACAACTGGTGTGTTTCTCGCTAACTTATCCTCCGACCGGCAAAGGCCTCAAAGAAGTCCTCATCTTAAATCTTTAAAAACACGTTAATCTAATGATCAGATCTTCTTGTTTTTTTAAATCAAGCTGGAATATTTGTAGTAAACTCCACTTGGATCACCATTAGTTGAAACCAGCATGTTTATACATTTAGCATTCGATGCAATGAATTTAATATTAAAGGGTCAAACCAAAAACTGTGCAGAGACACTTTTCAAATCTGCAGGAGAGAAGTTTTTATGTCTCAGACGATGGTTCTGCTGAATTATTCTTTCAAACAGGAGCAGTGGACTGTGACTCCACACACACACACACAGGCTTTTTTGTAGGATTTGTAAATTTCTTGGCCTCCTGCCTTTGCTGAGCTGAATAATATTTTCACCAGGAGCTTAATTAACACACTGGAATATGAAGTAAACTAATTAAACAGAAGATTTCTTTAATTAAACAGCTCAGTCGAATGTGTTTCCCTATTACACAAACTAACTATGGTCTCTGACGTACTGATGCAGGAAGAAAGTGTTAAATCAACTTTACATTTAAATCTGAATTTAAATTATTAAACACAGATAATTCCTATTTATTTAACGAGTCAATGGTTTTTTCAACTCATTGATTTGTTTAGTTTAGAAAAGTTAATAAAAACAATAATAATAATAAACTACCCATAATCCAAAGCTGGAAAGCTGTGTACTGACAACTCACTGGAAGACGTTGACAGAAGTTTGAACAAGTCGTGAAGCTTCATTGATTTTACAAATGTATTCATGGATGTTTATTTATGAAGCATCACAGATAAAGATATCTGGAAAACTAAAAACATAATTACAGCCTGACAAAAACAAGTTTCACTAGTTTCAATACGACTCAAATAAAGACAAAGAATCTGGTCTCAGTCTGTGGTTTGTTCTGCAGCCTGACGTCTGTTCACGAGGATTCACCAGTGTGACGACCGGGGACAGAACTGAACTCACGAGCACGACAGCAGACAAACTCAAGAGCAAAGAACAAGAGGATCAAAACCAGAGCATCAGTCCAGACAGAGAACTCAGAACCCAAACAGAGAACTCAGAACCCAAACAGAGAACTCAGAACCCAAACAGAGAACTCAGAACCCAAACAGGGTCGTGAACATGTGAGGAACAGGACTAGAACACACGAGACCATCTGGAGAGAGTGACTGAAGCTGACTGGTATAAATACACAGAGGAACTAATGAGGGAACGAGGAGCAGGTGAGTGCAGGAGACTCAGGTGAAGGGGGGGAGGGGAAATCAGTGAGAGGAACTGGATCTGAATTCGATTCCAATTCAACACAATGAAGAATCAATGTGTTTCGGTATAATGAGTAAAGTGTAGAATAAAGACACAGGTGAGCTTTTTATAAACCTTCTTTTATTAGTGTTATGCATTTAATTTCCAAAAAGAATGATTCATTTCTATTGATGAGACAGTTTTACAGTGATCGGGCTCCACATACAGAATGTGACATGCAATTAAGGAAGAAAATAGCAAAAGAACTCATATTATTTTACATTCTTAACCTCTGCAACCTGAAATGATTTTCACCCTGAATTAAAAAGAAAGACCCTCTTGATTCAGTTCAAGGAACTTGAATAAAAAAACTTTCCCTTTTTCAATATGTATTCGCACATCGTCAGCAAACCTGCGAACATCATCCAGTGTGCACACCGAACTAAAGGGACCCCTGCCAGGCACTGAACCCCAAACACTGTGTTGGTGGCTGATTTTATTCACCTCTCGTACCTTTAGACTTCACCGTTTAGTCGATAGCGTTGACTTCTTAGACGCCTTAACGTTGCCGTGGTAACGTTTCAACGTATCCTAGTGGAATGTATTCAATGAGCTTCTTCTTCTGCTGATCGGTGAAACGTTCACCTCTGGATCTACCGGCAGGATTCAGCGGGGCAGTTACGATATTCATCAGTTTACGAGGAAGGCGTTAAACGGCAAACGTTCCGGCGTCGTCAGAGCGTTCAGGGAAAGTGAAGTCTTGTTTGGTGATGGATGAAAGATAAATGTTTTTTATTCTAATATATTCTATGCATCACACAATGCATTTCATTAAATTCACCAAGTAAACATATATTCAATCTTTAGCAAACTGCCAGTACACACTCTTCTGTGTTAATATTTCTACTCGTGAGAAAATCACCAAACCTAACGGAGAACCTTTGCTTCCTGTTTGCTTTGGAGGGAGGATGAACGGCAGTTCTGAGCCTGTTTCTCCGAATGTTTCTGGGCTCCTGGCAACAGAAGATGCTTGGATCATCCAGTTTCTCAGTTGCAGCCTCTTTGGCTCGAGTTTCCCTCAAAACAAAAAAATAAATAAATAAACCCATCGGTGGTTTGAGCCGTTGAGTCGGAACGTTTCAGAGGAAACCAGCCAAGATCTGATGATTTAATGTCCGTTCATTTCAAAATCTACCCGCGTGGTTTTCATCATTCACCCACATCTGCCTCTGTGTTAGGAAAATATACAGTTTATACACGTCCGTGTGAAATCGTATTGTTTATCACCTCTACTTAAAGAAACAACTTGTTAGTCTCACACTAAACCAAGGATGCATCTAAACTGACGAACATGTCGCTCTACAAACACAGTTTTCCACACTGAAGTATCTCACGCAGCAGAGTTACGACGACGACACGTCACAGATGAGCTGCAGCTGACCTCTCACACACACACACACATGATAATAGCCCTTTTCTCAGGCAGTTCACCTGCTGCGACGCCTCGAGACGAGTCCCGCTGAGAGACTATTCTACATTTAGGAGGAGGTATGGCTGTCGTTTCCATGAAGGGCCCATGAATCTAAGACTAGTCCAGGATTTATGTCCCCTTTCACCTTTCCGCTCCGGCAGGTGGGAGGATACAAGGCTTGGAAAAGCTCATTTCATGCGCTGGCCTCGGGTGCAAGAGGAATGTGTTGATGCAATTAATAAATCGAGGTGATTCTCCTCAGACGACTCAAAGAAAGAAAACTGCACTGATCTCTCTTTCTGCACGACAACCATTTAATGCGATGGGGCTGCTCCTCATGCATTCATCTAACGCAGGTATCCATGATGAGCAGAGGGAGAAAAGTTCTTATGAGGTTAAAGTAACGCAGTATCTAAATTCTTTGTTTTTAATTGCACGTCCCCCATTTTCTTATTAAATGTCTCCAATTAATAATCTCAGACTCGATGTCCTCAGGCCGTGATCACAGAGGGTCGGCCATATTGTCGCTTCTACGAAAAGGTCCCGAACGACCACTGTTCACGTCAGACAAAATAAGTCATCAGGGGTTTGACGACGTGACCGTGAAAACCTTTCGTCAGACGTTTGTGGTTTTGCAGGAACTGGAATTAATGCTCGTGAAAATACACGGAGAGCTGGATAACAAATATTCTGACCAGCAGGTTGATAAACTGAGAGCTGAGATCAAGTGGTTGGATCGTTGTTGTAGCGGTGGGACGACAGTCTTCGGTCAGAGGAGTAACCGAAAAACCAAGACGAAGGATTTGAGGAAATGCAAACAGCCACTAAAAAAACACTGCGTCTCGTTACAGTTTGTTGTAGTGACGAGCACACGTGAAACTTTAAATCTGGAAAACCAAGCTCCTGTGTGATCACGGCCCTAAACCCTGAAGAACCCTGAACGCTCAACGAGCCCATCGCAGCACAGCCGATCTTTCTGGATCCAATGCACAGATTCTGTTGCCTGGAGACTCCCACAGAAACAGGAAATATTTTGGACACTTGGTGTATTCTCTTCTCTACCAAACATACGCATGCTCAACATTTGAAAGGAATGTGTTAAGTATTTTTTTTTTTTTTTTAGACACATGGCACAACCAGGGTGCAGCCCCAGTTTCCGCCTGTGCACCGAGTAGCTCAAAGACACATTTACGTCGTATAAACCAGGACTATATGAATCAACGACATGGTCTCACATCACGGACACGTAGAAAGACGCACACGTATAAACACACACACTTACAGTACATGTAGTACACTGAGACAATTATAACAATGGCTTCTCCTTTCTACGTACATTTTCTTTACGTATACGTTAGTATACATGTTTAAAGATACAAGAATGTTGAGGATTTACAAACAGATACGCGGATAACGTCTATGTTTTATACAGAAAACAAACGAGACAGAAAACTTTCAATGCGGAAATATTCTCTTTTTGTCATTTTAAATTATTGCAATCTAAACAATATGGCTTGTCTAGTGAAAAGTCCTATCTGAGCGAGAAAACGAAAAAGAAGGAAATGTTCTTGCGATGATACTGACAACTTCATCGTTAGTCTTTTTAAAGTTATTCTAAGTTACAAACTCATGGAACAATGTTTTCATCGTCGCATAACTAACCACTGAAAAGCCACCGGATCATTGAGGAATAACCAACATGCGTTGTTTTACCAATACATTTCCACACATGAAGGTAGCTTCACTAAATAGAGATCGTCTCCATGTACAGCACATATACTTAAATATACGGACAAATCACGAAGATGTTTCCTTGGATTAAGAGATGCAGGATACAGAATATAATCAGCTCTTAACGAGCTCTTCAGGCAGTGAGATGCGTCGGCACAAGGACCAGTTAGTCTACTGTTTGATTTTCTAGTCGTTTTTAGCCACGGAATACTTTTGCAGAAACAGGCGCGTACGGTTTTAGTTTAGCGGTGGTCTTTGGGATGCATGCACACACTGTACGGGCTGCGTCTCTCCTAACACGCCTCACACATGCAATAAAAACCAAGTTCGGCACGTGTGTCCAAGTTTCGGTGACGACGAAAGAAATAGAAAGGTCTCACCAGTATTTCTTTGGTCTCGATGTGGATGAACTTCGGTCAAAGTAAACTTATGCGTTAAAAGATGAGGAGAAAAGTTACCGGAAATAAAATCACATTTTCCCTTTTTTGCGTGTAAATAAATTGGCAGCACATTCACAAAAAGGAAAATTAAACCCAGACGTTTGCATTCATGTGTAACGAAGAAAAACAGAAAACGGTAATGAATAGTTAAAATTAAAAGCCACTTAATAGCAACAGTTAATCAAGTGCTTAATGTAGAACCGACATTTAACCAATCGTAGATGGTGCGACAGAAATGACAACACGTACAGTACCAGCTCCTCTGACTGTTTCCCTGTGGCCGATGCTTTGATTGTCTATGGGAACCACACTGAACTCACGATGACTCGGTTTGAGCTGCTTGAATCTGTAACTTCTGGGCCAAAGGGTTTGAAACAAGGTAAAAGAGTTGTTTACTTGCATGAACGATACTTTGGGTCAAAATTCGTAAATTGAAAAGAGTTCTTGAACATGATCCAGAACTAAATTTAACTTTTCTAACAGGATGGAAGTCTAACTAGCTTACACGCTCAGAATGTCTAGCTTTGGACAAACTAGAGGTGGAAGTAGGAGATAAACTTTTTTCTTCAGCAAACAGATCTTTGGAAGCTCGGAGCCAGTGAATTATGTTTTTTTAAGAGGCCTTAAAAACGTTGTCTGGAATTTCCAGATGTCTGTGGAAACCCCGATGTGTTAGCTAGCCAACCTCCAAATCAAAAAGTGTCCGATCTTGTATCTTTGAACGCGTCTACATGCTACCGACGACTGTACACCGGTTTGACTCAAATGAAACCCTCATTTACAATCCCTCTGCAAGAGGAGGTGATATGAAGGCACATGTCCTAAAAACTCAAATGCTGATTTCATATATATATATATATTTTAATATAAAGACCTAGGTTCATAAAAGTAGAAAACACCCATTGAAACAAAGGAAACATGCTCCATCTACTGGAAAACATGGTGGTAGTGAAAAAAAACCACAGAGGCAAGAACACTTAAATGTCCCCTGGCCGTCTTTAAGGGAATACTGTCCTCCATTGGTCACCATCGCTTGGCAACAGATGATGAACAACCAATCAAATTGTCTGATCCTATTGGGTTAAACAAAAGTGAGGAAAGGACAAAAAAAAAAAAACCTTCTAATCGTAGGAAATGTGCTAAGTGGCAGTTGAAAGGTTGTACGGCAATTGTGGTAAACATCGTCGAGGAGTAGAAAAAGAACGTAAACGGTTTCTAGAAAGGCAGTGAGTAGCCTCTAACAGTTTGGCAAGAACCCCCCCCCCCTCCCGATGACTTCTACATGCCCCAGATCTACGCTCAACAGTCAGGTCGAGTCCCCCGACCTCTCATCGCCCCCAAACCTTCATCCCTTCATCCCAAAGTCCCTGACACAAAGATCCCCTCCTCCCTTTGCCCCACAGCCCAGGCCGGACTGGACCCTGAATTTCGGGTTTGTTTGATTTGTTTTTCTCTGGGTTTTTTTTACTTTTTGAACATGTCCTGTAGAGGTCCGGGCAGATACTTGAGGACGGTGTCGAGGATGCTCTCCTCGTCTTCCTCGTCGTCGTCTCCGCAGCCTCTTGGGATGGCCTTCTTGGGGCGTGTCAGGGAGCCCTCACACGCCTGCTCCATTGCTGCTTTCTCCTCCGCCTCTTTCTCCTCCTTTTTCTTCAGCCCATACTGAACGGAGAGAGAGAGCACAGAATGAGGACAAGAGCTAGGAAAGGAATGAAGGTTGAATGAGAAGTGTGAAGGGATATCAGTTCTTCAATTGTGGCCAAATCAGTGTTGTTAAGGTCACAGATGTTTGACCTTTGTCCACCAAATTCTGACCATTAAAGTTCGTCGAGTTCAAGTGGACATTTGCACCAGATGTGCTGAAATTTCATTGCGATAGATCTCATATTCAAGAATGGGACGTATGGACAGATGACTGAAAAGGATGAGGTTGCACCCGTCCTCTGCTTTTTAAGTGACATTCATCCAGAACTGTGCTCTGTGATACGAGTAAGAACTTCTTACCGAAGCGTCAAAACTCTCTCAGAAGTTCAGGAACCCTTAGTTTGTGTTGGTCCGACATTCGAAAAGGCAGAAATCTGTATGTGAGTGACTTCTGAGCGATGTCTTACCTTGTCCCTGATGGTCTGCCGAACTTTTTCCCTCTCTGCCTCCATGCGGGTGTGTTTGGCCTTCCTCTCCTCCTCCTGCTGCCTCAGCGCCTCCTGATGCTCCTCCTCCTTCTTGGCTGCGTCCGGGTCCTTCTCCTCCTCCCCACCCAGCATCTTACCCATGTCTTTGGTGGCCCCTGGACAGAAGACACATGGACACCGCAGTTACCTTCCACTCTGGGAATATTGGGCTGCAGCCAACTCAGGTTTAAAAGTTTTGATGTGGTTTCAGGCTGTTGATCCTTTCACGTAAATAAGTGGCTGGGGGTGTTACACTCATGGGCACTCAAGCACTTGTAGTTCCTTGGAGAGAAAGAACGTTTGCCTCATTTCACACAATCAGACTCGGTCACATTAAGATCGTGTGATAAAACTCATGCAAACGCGTAAACATACAAATCGAGGGGTTGAAAGTGAAGATAAGTTATTCCCTCTGTCAGCGACTAGCTAACCTCATAAATCAAAACACCCGACCATGGACACTGTCATGTTCCACTATGAAAACATAACGTTAGCAGTTTTGGGGATTATACGGCAGCAGGGGTTTTCCTGAAGATCTGCGAGGCGTCTTGGAAAAACAAGAAAGGAGACGAGCCAATTGGAAAAGCTTCAAGGAACCACAGAGACAGAGGAAGACACATTGTTCTGTCCGGCGTCAACCATCTGTCAGCTGCACCTGAACCTCAGCACTCAGGCACCACGGTTAATGACTTTATGGCACATGAGCATTAGGGAAGTGATGTAATAAGCTTTTAGAGAATCTGGTCACTGCAAATGGAGAACACGCCGAAACAGGATATTGAGTTACTGAAACTTTTGGCTAAAATAATGAGTCACTTTAATCGACTTCTCAAATGTGAGAATTTGCTTTGGTTGGACTAACAAGCAGTTTTAGAATCAGCTTTGAGGTTATCACAGTATTTCCCACAACCTTAATCTAGGGCCTGATTGGCTGGAGGCTCCGGGGTCTTGGACCTCCACATCGGTTCTCTCACTATCCCCTCTGCTCTTAACGCGGCCTCACCTCTTTATGTGAGACCAAGGCTGTTTTCTCGATGTGAAAGAGACTCCCTCTGGCCTATCGATATTGCTGTTGTTACCTCCCCGTGGTCGATAGTAAATACAGGACCACCTGAGAGAGTATGAATTATGGATCTTAGAGCAAAGAGAAAACTTCATCTGGGTATTGATCTTCCTCTCGGGCTCTGGTGAGTACAGAGCCTGGCTGGCAGCCTGGTTCACCGTCCACCAGAATGGTTGCTCAGTATGTGAGGAGAGTGATTGAGGAAAGGAAAGGATATAAAAAGTTGTGTGTTTTCTTGAATCTATAACGGACTCTTAGGGGCTCGCTCACTTAAAAAAGCAAAGTTATTTAAACCTGTGGTCATGTGGTTCTTTCTTTGTGCCATCAGAGAGTTTATTCAAATTCCAGAATTCTAAATATGTATTTCTGCAGAAATTAAAGTTGTATTTACTGTTTTCAACTCAGCTAATTTCAGTGATCGTGGTGTGGAGCCGCAGTTTTGAGATCCAGCATCTTAACATTGGATAAACTCAACACTGCCTCCGTGCACCTCCACATGTGTAGAGCATGTTAATTATTATGTACGTGCACTATTGTTCTATATGTTGTGTGAATTTAAAAAAATTTTCTGATTGGCTCAGTAAAACATACCTTACCTGTAAATCACTCTCCTCCCTCAGCACATCAATTGTAAAGTGAAACAACTGATCATCTGTCGTGAATTCTAGAAGTCTGGCTTTTGTTCCGAAACAGTTAACGACTGAAAGAGAAACTTGGGAACTAAAAAGGTTATTAAACATTAATGGTTTAATCATTGCTATTGATTCCAGGCCTCTCAACCCTGGGACGTACATTGTGGTCGTTCAGTGTTGTGTGGCTGTAAAAACCTGAATTATAGCTCTCGATTAGGAAAGCGGAGTCGGAGGAGTAGATTTCTGGGTGAATTGCTCTGATGAAATGTGGCTTTAAGGACTGCACGGGTTCCTTCATGGGTTTGTGAGCCCGGGGGTGATGGTCCCTGTCGCTCTGCAGCACACTCATGCAGTGGCGCTAATTGCCCTGCAGCGTCGTTTCATCCGCAGCAAACCTGATGATGACAAATTAGCCCGCCGTCGGGGGCGGGGGGGAGAAATGTTTCCCTGAACACACTGGGGAGCCGGGTTAAGGTCACACTGTCCATTGAGGGGGCTTCCTTGTTTTGACACAGTCAGACACACAACACATGTGTCTGAATTATGCATAGATGTGTGTTTTCTTACACATAAAGGGCAAGTGTACTCATATGGAGGTTTGACACACACACACACACACAATCTAAGCATCAGTTGAAACTACATTTTACAGTTCTGCAGAAAACTTTATCTTGAACTCTTTAACTCTTTTGCAGCGATACGACATGAAGGCGTCAGACCATGAATGTGTTTTGAAGATTGCATGATAATTTAATTCTGGACCAGATGATTGAGCGACCAACCAAACGACTGGGATCCAGGGACATGAGGTGATTTTACTGAACCGGAGAGGAACGACAGATGATAAATAAAAAAGAGAGGTAGAGCATTTAGTCTTTCACCCACCAGTGTCTTTACCCTTCACATGTTCCATCCATCCTTCCATCCCCCTCGCCCGCCTCTGTCTGTCCTCTACTCGTCCCTCCTGCTCTGTTTTTTGTTTCCCTTTTACTTGAAGTGAATTTCTAATTTGATTAATCTTCCTCTCCTCTTACCCATCCTCCTCCACTCGTTTACTCCCCTCCTTTCTCTTTCATCTCTCCAGCTTTCAATTCTATCACCACAAAACCACACACTCCTCCTCTTTCCTCCCCTTGACCGTCTCATTCCTCCGCTCCCTCCCTCCGTCCATTAGAGGCCAACCGACAGATTTGCACGACAGACAAAGGTGAGCAATTCAAGTCTAAGTGCTCAAACGGCCCCAGTCCTCGTGTTGTGCGTTCAGTCGCTCATTACTTCATTCAGTCCGTCCGTGGGCTGCGCCTTTGTGCCAAAGAGGTTTTAATACACAAAGGCTCTGGATCTGAAGAGGCGGAGATATGGTGGCATTATGGGTAAATAGCAGCTCCTACAAAAACGCTTTAACAGACGCACAAACAGACAAACACTCGGCAGCGGAGAGTTACCGTGGATACGATTTGATTGATGGTGTAGATTTGGTCGAAGCTGAGTGAAGAGAATGACAATTCTCAGACGACAACAGTGAGAGCGAAACCTGCGATTACGTATAACTGAGCAACTTTAGGCTGAGTGAAGCTTTGGAAGAGCGATAACAAGGATGTACGAACAAGATCAAACACGACCACATGCTGCATTTTCTGTATTTTCTGACGGAGCAAACTGGGCACAAACAAATCTGTAGCCACTGAACCCTTCACCACTGGAGCAGCGAGCGAGATTTACACAGAGATGGAGAGAATGTAAGAAGGAGAGAAAAACAGAATGAAGTGACAGGATTCTATTAAAGATTAAACCGTTTTTAGTAAAAGACAACCTGACAGAAATTTAATTATATTTGCAGCCAAAATTATCTGTTGGACAATTTTCTTTTTGATTTTCATTTTGCACCTAAACAAATAACTTCACAAAACTGAAATAGAGTTTTAGGGGGAATTATAAATAATAATAATAACTAACCCTAACCCTCATCATTTGCACGGCACTTTTAAAACAACAAAACCATGGAGCTCATTTAACTAATGGACGACCTCCACTGTGTAATTATAAGACTCACGAGCGTCGGGTGAAAACTCAGCCACATCGATCAGACGTTTGGACGGTTTCCTGGTTACGTCACAGTTCTGCCGAAGTGCTCTCGAGCGTTAGAAACTGTGTCGTTGTCTCTGGTCAACTAATCAACCTGCCTGTGGCTTCCTGTTATTGCAGCGTCCTCGCCGTCCTCACCTCGCCTGCACAGGAAATGAAACGCCAAGCTCCGCCCGCCTGGTCTGGACCACTTCACGCAGATGTTCCCGAGATTATCTCAATATTATCTTTCATTTGATTTTCTTTATGAGAAAAAGGCGAAGTTCACACGTTTGATTTCCCCCGTTATGTCAGAAAAGGAAGGAAGTGCATTTTGGGAACAAAATAAATGTTTTGATGGCGTCGACAAGAAAATGGGATTCGTCTCCGAAGTTACATCTCATATGAAAATAACAAATTCTAGGATTGTAAAGCAATAGTTAATTTATATTAACCTCAAGGTGCGACATCCTCTGTTCTTAAACCTCAACAAGTAAAACTGCCAAACACAAACCTCCGAGTTCAACTAGAGCTTCTTTAGACCAGTTGACGGCTCAGATGAAAACTCAGGGATTCACCAAAGTCATTTGGACTCAATGAAAGTTTCTGAAACAAACAACCTCATGATTCATAGTCGCTGCAGAGAACTTCAGGTCTGTGGCTCCACCGCTGATTAATTCAACACAACATGGAAACGCTGATGAATCCGATTTCTAATTAAACAACCAGTAAATGCAATCTGTGGCCTGTGGCTATAATCTATAGCTCAGTCTGCACCGCTGGAACAGTCAGAGGGTGTTTAACAACTAATGATATTAGTGTGTGTGTGTGTGTGTGTGTGTGTGTGTGTGTGTGTGTGTGTGTGTGTCGGGGTAAATTAAAGAAAAGTATGAGTGAAGTTAAATTGGACAGAAAGACTTTGTGTGCCCATTAATCGTAAATGAGACCAGTCCGGTTTATATTCTGTTTATATTCTGTTTTCCTGGACCCTAAGACGACTTCGCTCCCAAACAAATTCAAACAAGGCCTTAAAGTTTACTTCACATGTTCTCGGTCACATACTGGTGAGGTATGGTTTTCTAGTCGTATTCGTTAGGTACTCTCTAGATTTTATTTGGAACTGAACACACAAAAACTTCAGTCCTCTAAATGCGTCAGATCCTTCAGGACCTGTGAATATTCGTTCTCTCTTGGCCGTTGTCCCGTCCTTCCACCGAGTTTAGAGGTAAAAACATTTACCTGAGTAACCCTTCGTTTTAAAATCAATAAAACAATACACACATATAATAAAGGTCGTTGCAGGGTTGTTGTTACACGCCCACCTTAACACAACACCCGTCAACGTCAGGACACTTGATCTCAAAATGTCCTCAAATGTCCTGCGAGACGAAAACCACAAATCAAACCTCATCTGTGTGTGTGTGTGTGTGTGTGTGTGTGTGTGTGTGTCCTTCCCCTCGGTGCATGTGTGTGTTTGTTGGTGTGTGCGGCTGCTTGTATACATATATTCAGGGAGGACCAGCTGAGTCCCAGTGAAATAAATGCCAGCCTGTTCCAGAAGAAAAGGTCACAGCACTAGACCGAACCTCCACGGGAGGTAAATTACAACACTTCAACCTGGAATGGATGGATGGAGGGGGGACGGGGGGGCAGTAGAAAGTAATTGGAGGCTGTGCGATGAAGGGATACGAGGAAAGAGGGATAGAGAGAGGCGCTGAAATAAATGGTGAGATCCCAGAGTGCACTGCTCAACGTGAGGATGAAGAAAGGATGGATGGAAAATGAAAAAAAAAATAAAGTCGGACCCAAATGGAGAAAGACGGGGGAGAAAAAATTGCAAGAAGCGTGTGGTGGAGAAATTGGAAAAGAGAGAGAGAGAGAGAGAGAGAGAGAGAGAGAGAGAGAGAGATGGACGACAGGAAAGTGAAACCTGACCAGCAGGGGGCGACTCCACTGGTAGATTCTCACTCGCTCTATAACGTCAGGGGTGTCGCCCACTAAACATCATATCTACGTCGTTTCTACTCTTCCGATAACGTCATGTTCTCTGTGGAGTGAATCTGAAGATGAGGCTTGATTTAAGGAGCCACTGACCTCTGGCCCCTGGAGGCCCCCCCCCACTCACTCACTCACTCACTCACTCCAACAGTCATCCTGTTTTGTGTGGCTCTCTCTGGGTCCAGCCCGGCGTCACTCAGTGTACAGGTCACCTGGGACGCCCATGAAAACCAGGACGGATGAGGAAGAACACGGGGAAATAAAACTTTCTATTATTTCTGTTCTGTTTTTTTAAAGAGACAGAAATCATTCTTCATTGAAAGAGTCAAATCATTTTTAGAATGATTTCTCACTGGAGGCAGCAGCTGCAGTCTTCACCTCCGACGACATAATGTTTGAACCACGGGGACGTTCACTCGAGGATATTACCGTAGCAACCAAAGAACTGGTTCTTTCATTTTGTTTGTTTTTAAAGAACCGTTGCCTCTCGCTGCCTCTCGCTGCTTCATTTTCCAACGTAGAGGAGGAGACGGTCATCGTACTCACCACCTAACGCTTGCTTCATCACAAAATCCATGATTCCAGCTGATCGGTACAGTTGTGGTTCTCAGAGCCGAAGAGAGCTGAGCATGTAGCCACCGGGCCGGAGATCTTCCTCTTCCTCTGTCGTGATGCGGAGCGTCTTCTGCGACTCTGCTGCACCTGAGAGACAAGAGAGTTATAATAATATGACTAAGTGATTAAAACTATAATCACGTGATGACTCGTTGCTGTTGTAACCACTCAGTCGCCTCGCCTGCTTTAAGGAAGTGTTTCCTGTACGTATCAGAGACTCTCAATAAATCGACAGATCTCCGGAGGAACATGCGGTATTGGACGGAGGTAGCGGATCACGCTGAGGTTAAAACAACAGATAATAGGATCTTCTTAACACGCTTTACCCCCGTGACAGGAATCCTGTTGTAGCACTTGAATCAATACCGAGGCCTGGTCCCTCGTCTGCCTGTAACTCAAGAGCAGCGGATCGATCGCCTTCTGTTTCCAACGGCCCATAAATGTTTCATGACAAAATGAAATGATTGTGTTTCTCTAACATGCATGACCCACACGTGTTCTGTATGTCCAGAGAAATCAGCTTGTGTGCGCTCTTATATCCTCTCTGCAGCAAATCCAAGTCACATCCATATTGGCTCATCAATATTTCATAAAGTCCGACAGTCACTTCCTCCCTGTGAAGAGAATCTCCGCATGTCATCGTACTTCCTGCTTCCACATCCACGTAAAACACTGGACAAAACACATAGACTGACATGATCGCCCCCTAATGGCTGGCTGCAGTATAAACCCTGCCCCTCCTCCATGTTAGCAGATGAGACATGGACCAAACTACTTAAATATTCAAACATCAGCCAAACTGCACCTCACTGGTCCCGTTAAAAGTTACACAAGTCACACTCTTGTCAGATTTAACTTAATACCGCAACTCTTTATGCTAATTTTCAGGATATTTTATATCGGGAGGAAGCGGAGAAGCGTCGTACATCTTCATCTACAGTTTGTGGTTGAGTGTGGTTATTGGTTTATATGCACTGTGCCCCTGTATACACTCAGTGTCCCTCTGATAAACTCTTCTCCTGCACCGCTGTCAGATGAAATCTTCCACATTTATTGCAGCCGGCGAACCAGAACAGCATTTCCATTTTCGAGGCACATCCCTCCCACTCTCCTCCCACCGAGCGTCCCGGTGTCATTTCGCTACACGCCAATATTTGGCGGCGGTGAACAGAGCCGGGATGAGATGGGGACGGGGACGGACGGCAGATTGAGCTGCGCAGCTTATTCTGAGAGGACGACAGGGGAGACGAGGCCCGAGCGGGACGACGATCCATTTGTAACTGTGACCGAGCGCTTCAGGGGGTGAAGCACCTCATTTCCAACAACACACACACACACACACACACACACACACAAGATCTCATTAACAGCACAAATGTTTTCTGATGCGTAATACGAGAAACACAAACGCTACACACTTCATCTTGTGTGGGCGGAGTGAACTGTGTGTTTGTCAAATGTGAGTTTTCTACATCTACACATAAGCTGATACTGGAAGTCAGATGTAATAAACTAGATTAAACTTAAAGATGATAAATCTAAATCTTTTTATTCCCACAAACGATGTGAAAACATTCGTTATGTTTACAAGTTTGAGGAAAATCATGTTAAATAATTTAAAGCTACAAAATAAACTTGGAACAGAAACGAAGAGACAGAACGTCTCTGTCCTCTCTTGATAAGGGAGCGGAGGAGGCGTCTCTTCTTTTCTCATATTTCTCTTTGTAAACATCCCAGCATTCACTCCGAGGGGTCGGAGGTCACGGTCACACTCCTCATTTAGCTGTTACATGTTTGAGATGACAAACGAAAAGAAAGCAACAGAGAACATGTGAAAGAAGGGGTTTTCTTTCAGATGCATTTAGAGGCAAGGTTGTATTCCACTGTGTGTGTCTGTGTGTGTGTGTGTGTGTGTGTGTGTGTGT